GTTAGTTATTCTAACTTAGATATTGGATTTAACAGTGTTGTAGCATATCCTTTTTTGGGCAATGAATAAAAATCAGTGAAGTCAATTAGTAATACAAATGTTCGACGACGACAACAACATCCAAACCTTAGTCCCAAAAGATTTTGGAGTCGGCTAACATGAATTGATACATGATATTGGAACCAAAAGGAAAAGAAAGATAAAAAAGATAAAAATGATAAACTATGATAAAATGATAATATAAAAAGAGAAAAGATATACATAAAAAGATAGAATAAAAAGGATAAAAAGAATCTATATATATAATAAAGATAAAAGGATAAAAAAACAAAAACAAAGGAAAGAAAAAAAAGACGAGGAAAAGATAATAAGAGATCACTCTGCCACGTGAATACCCGCCCTCCACTCTAGTCTCTCCAAAGCCATACCCTCATCCAACCCAAGAAGAAGCATATCACTCCCGACTCCTCTAATTCACGTATGCTTGGGTCTTTCTCTCCCTCTCTTCCTTGCTTCTTCTCCACCCCTCTCAACTCATCTAACTCGTGCATCACTCGGTCTACTACACACATGACCAAACCACCACAAGCGAGACTCCCGCTGTCCCGCATATTATCTTCAATAGGTGCTACTCCCACCTTTTGTTTGATTGTCTCATTCCTCAAGCGGTCATTTCTAGTATGTCTTCACATCCAACACAACACGCCTATTATCAATTTTTACTCCCACCCTCTGCGCATCTCCGCCACTCATCTTTTGAATGTGACATTGTTTCACTGCCCAACACTCTACGCCATACAGTAATGCGAGCCTAATTGTTGTCCTATAAAATTTACCCTTGAGTCTAGTCGGCATATCTTGATCGCATAAAATAAAAAAATTATTATCTCTTCGATGCATATTGGATTTAATTGTTTGGTTTGATGGATTACATTTGAAGCGGTAGAGGTCAGGAAAACTTCTTGACTATTAATTCAAAATCATAACATGTAAGTTTGTAATATGCATTGTCAAAATAGATTTCTTGAAGTGTTAACGAATTACCTTTTAACTTGACGTTTAATGGTTAAAGTAATACTACGTAACTAGTAAGTAAAGCTGCATGATATCTGCTTACCTTTCTTGCATGACTGTATTCTATTGTTTATTAGGTACATCGAAGCCAGCAAAGCTCGCCTTTACCACTCTGGAGATGGTTCTATTTCTTATGTTGCACAGGCAGTGCTTGTATATGTTTTTCAGAATGTGTTAAAGATGCTACATCCTTTTATGCCATTCGTTACAGAGGAGCTCTGGCAGGTAATTCTCATGCTCAGATTACTATTTTAAGATTCCGTGGCTCAAATATCTATTATTTTTTTTTTAGATAATTTATTAGTTAGGAAATGTTTTCCTTTAATTTTCCTTTTCATTTACCATCTTGATTTCAGTGCAGGCACTGCCCAGAAGACAGGAATCTGCTCTTATTATTTCGGCCTGGCCTGAGGATTCACTTCCAAGGAGTGCTAATTCCATCAAAAAATTTGAGAACCTACAGTCTTTGGTAAGAGCTTATAAGTCATTCATTTTTTTTATTTTTATTTTTTATTTTTTTATTATTACATCGGAGAGGGTTACAAGGCTTAGAAGGCTAATACATACTGATATCTGCTTACCTTTGGTAGAGTCCACGATACTAGGTTACTAGGCCTTTGACATGAGCTTCTATATATGTGTGTGTGTATAATGTACGCATACGCAAAAGTGTATCTTACCCATTTCATGACTGCAGACAAGAGCCATAAGAAATGCACGATCAGAATACTCTGTTGAGCCAGCAAAGCGCATATCTGCTTCGATTGTTGCAAGTCCAGACATTAACCAATACATAAGTGTAAGCCATATTCAATATATCATCACCTAAATACACCTGTGTTTTCAAATATTCCTTTAAAGATCACAGTTCATTAAGTGCACTGCTTAATTCGACTAGGAGACGGTGTTTGAATATGAATTTCTCAAATCCTACATTTTTATTTTGCAGACATTTATCAAAATATCTGTTTGGTTATTTGGCTTCCAATTTATTTTAACTGTCAGTTATGGGTTAATGCAGAGTGAAAAGGAAGTTTTAGCTCTTCTTTCTAAACTAGATTTGCACAATATTCATTTCATGGTGTGTCCTCCAGGTATGCAACACTTAATGGAATTTCCTTTGTAGACCATATCAATCTCTAGTGATTCTGTACTAATTTGTTGCCATTATGGAATAAATGAATTTCAGAAGATGCAAATAAGTCTGTTCACGTTGTTGCTAGTGAAGGCTTAGAAGCATATCTTCCACTAGCAGATATGGTGGATATCTCCACTGAAGTTCTGCGCCTATCTAAGCGCCTCACCAAAATGCAAGCAGAATATGATGCACTCAAGGCTCGTCTGAGTTCACCAATGGTAATTTTTTTGGTTCATTCAGTTAATTCCTTTCTTTCTATCTTAGTATCCCCTCCTCCGTCCCTATTTCAAGTTCCTGTATTCCTTTTAGGGATGTCCCTAATTAAAAGGCATTTCTGGCAAAAATCTAATATCCTTAAAACTTTGTGAAGGTCAGACTAGGATAACTTCTTTAAGTGATGAACTATTGATGAATTCGTAGTACTTGGGAATTAAGATCTTCATACCTTTTCTGCCATCGAAGGGTGAAGGAACCATGATCTTATTTTCTCTGTCCCTTAATAAACTGAGCAGTAGGACTTTTTAGTCAAAGTTCATAAACTTTGACCTTTATTTTTTCATAAACTATATTACTCTATATTAAATATAAATATTTTAATATATTATTTTGGATATTTATATATTGTAATTTGTATTACTCTGTATAGAAGTGCAAATATTGGCAGTTGATTAAAAAATGTGAATGTGCAAAGTTTATTGAAGGAACAGTTGGGCAGAGGGTGGGGGCAAAATTGCTTTACTGTTGAGGGAACGGGTTGGCAGAGGGTGGGAGTAAAAATTGCTTTACTATTGAAGGAACGGTTGGGCAGAGGGTGGGAGTAAAACTCATTTAATTTTCTACTCCGTATTAAACTATGATGAAGGTTAGAAAATATGTTCAGGAGAGTGAGGAGACTTTACATATGTTCTCATTCTTAATAATGTGGCTATGCTCAATTTAATATTTGACTAGTTGTTCTTGCACTTTACTCTAAATTTTCTTATGATGACGATGATAATATATACGGAGTACTACGTATACATATATATAGGGGTAGACTAATATTCAGGTCCGGCCAGGCCGGACCACTCCCCCCGTCCGACCTCCTCCATTTGGGGGTCTTCCCGGTGATATTTTTTGCTCAAATTTTTTGTGTAGGTTCCTCATCAAGTCTAGTTCATCCATACCAAATTTCAGCCAAAAATTCAATCGGGAAGGTCGTCAAATGATTTTTGCAAGTTAACTGGTCCGGAATATGTATTTTCCGGACCAGTTAACTTGCAAAAATCATTTGACGACTTTCCCGATTGAATTTTTGGCTGAAATTTGGTATGGATGAACTAGACTTGATGAGGAACCTACACAAAAAATTTGAGCAAAAAATACCACCGGGAAGGCCCCCAAATGGAGGAGGCCGGACGGGGCTCCGGTCAGGTATACCTGACCGGAAGACTACTCTATAGGGGTATACATATGTGTATATATAGTATTGGTTCACTTATTTTCTAAACTTTAGAAGTCAATATTTAAATAAATGTATTGTTCCTTGTGCAGTTTATGGAGAAAGCGCCAGAGGAAATTGTGCGTGCTGTACAAGAAAAGGCAGCCGAAGCCGAGGAGAAGTTAAAGCTAACCCGAAGCCGCTTTGATTTCCTTAGATCAACAGTGGAAAATTAATTTTTGACACTACAATTTACATATATTTTTGTACAAGTCAATTCTGATTTTGTGTAAGTAGTACTATGTATACTATTATTGGATGATTTAGTTCTTTTTGCTTTGTGTTTAATACGAAGTACTCCCTCCGTCCCAAAATGAGAGTCCCATATTCCCTTTGGCAAAAACTATTAGGTGCAATTCCAATTCTATCCTTCTAATTATTTCTCTGCCCCTGTTTTCCCTTCCCAACCCCCCTTTCCTGACTTCCTGTGACACTCTCACAGACACACATGACACATTGAGTGCCTTCTTCCTCACCCCTTCGCCCCTTCCCCATTTCCGTATCACCTGTGTTCTTCATCTTAATTATTTCCCATCCCGTCCATCTTATCACCATCTGCTCCTAGAATCTTATCATCAATTTGAAGCTTCAATTCCAATTTAGTTATCCCTTTCTTATCTTCATCTCCCTAGTAGAATTGAATCCCAATTTTAAACATGTGTCGGATGACCTAAGACCGAAGGGGTCAAGGACTCAAGGAGCGGTGGGAAGCATCGCTTTAAGAGACGCCATGGAGAAGGATTATAGCGAGAGAGGGTGGCGAATGAGAAAGAAACGCTGCAACTAGGCAAGACCCAGTAGAGAACTCCGTGGAGAAGTAGTAGTTGCGGTGGAGGACTACAGGGAGAAGCAGCTATGGTGAAGAGCGAGATCTATGCGAAGAAGAGCCTAAAAAATAGGGAATAGAAGAGTCATTTTTTTCCCTTTGTTGTAGCATTATCAGGATCCACAAATTTTTTTGGAGAATAAGGATAGATTTGGAATTTCAATACTCTTTCTTATTCTCCGTGTCCAAAAGAAATGAGACTCATTTTGGGACGGAGGGAGTATAAGTTTTGAGATAAACTCCACTCGATTAAATATAAGTCCAGCCTAGCAGCCTCATTTGATTGTCATTTGTTACTCGCAATTTGGGGTAACTAGCCAACTAGATGCGGTTTAGTTTAACCCTTTATCTATGTTTCAATTTATTATGGTCCGGATTCTGGGTTGGTTACTTAATGGGGGAAATAATTTAAATATCCCAAACTTTGAAGGGGTATGAAGTAAGCACCCCAAACTTATATACTCTGTATGTAATATATATCCCTAACTTTACATAAAAAGTTATGTTAGCACCATTACTATGTATTTTTTATTCTAAAATGTAAACTTATGGTGTTAAACACATGGTTTAAAATATTAAAACATTTATAGAGGTATTGTTAAAGCGTCATAAATTTACATTGAAAGAATAAAGACATGTTCATGGTACTAATATTACTTTTTATACTCCCTTCGTATTTAAAAGTGTGTTACGCTTTCCTATTTGGGATGTATTTAAAAGTTTGCTACACTTTCCGTTTTAGGTAAGTTTTATGGAGTATCTTTTAAAAATACCCAACTATCCTTACTTTTTCTATTTTTTATCTTCTCTTTCCTACTTTTTCACCTTCTCTCCTACTTTTGCAGTAACTCGTCCAGATATTGCCTATTCTGTGAGTGTAGTGAGTCAATACATGTCATCTCCAACCATTAATCATTGGGCTGCAGTAGAACACATATTATGTTACTTAAAAGGTGCACCAGGACGAGGTATTGTTTATCAAAACCATGATCACATGAGAATAGAATGTTTTGTAGATGCTGATTGGGTCGGTTCTAAAGATGATCGAAGATCTACATCTGGTTATTGTGTCTTTGTTGGTGGTAATCTTGTATCTTGGAAGAGTAAGAAGCAGAATGTGGTTTCTCGTTCGAGTGCCGAATCAGAATATCGAGCTATGGCACAATCTGCATGTGAGATCATATGGATAAGCCATTTATTGACCGAGCTCGGACTGAAGATATCAGTGCCTGCTAAATTGTGGTGTGATAACCAAGCTGCTATACACATAGCAAACAATCATGTATTTCATGAGAGAACAAAGCATATTGAGGTCGTTTGTCATTTTATTCGAGAGAAGATACAAAAAGGATTGATCTCTACAGGATATGTGAAGACTGGGGAACAACTTGGAGATTTGTTCACTAAAGCACTAAATGGAATTCGAGTTGGTTATTTATGTAACAAGTTGGGCATGATAAATATCTATGCTCCAACTTGAGGGGGAGTGTGAAAGTATATTAGAATATACTTTAGAATATGCTTTAGAATATATTAGGAATATGCCATATATAGTATTATTGTATAGCATCTTTTATAGGAATATTCTATCTTTGTAATCTATATTTATAGGGCTTTACCCTTCAATGAAATACACAGAAAATCATTCTCTCCATCTTAAATATTATTCTAGTTTATATTTCAACACTTTTTATTAGAACTGCCTCAATTCAAAGTTTTTTAGGTGCGTGCGGCGCTTTCTAATGAATAAGCGCCACACGCTGTGTTAAGGCCAAGTGGTCTGCGGAAATAGCAGAGGCTTGGGGAGTGAGGGAAGCTATACGCTGGGCTTGTGGGAATCGGTGGACAAATTTGGTGATTGAGACAAATGCAGCGTTGATAATAGCTTGGATCCAAGGCAAGTCATATGCAGCCCAAATTGGGGTTATTTATGACGACATTAAGGTGCTATTGAGAGCGAATCCGGATATTCACGTAAAGTCGTGTCGAAGAGAGGCGAATAAAGTAGCTCATACCTTTGCTCGTCATGCTATCTTTACGAGTGCTAGTGATGTTATTTTCAATTTGCCTCCGAATTATGTTGTAAGCCATTTGGCAAATGATTTAATTTTATAAGAAGGGTTGTTTTCTTTCAAAAATAAAAATGAATAAGCGCCACAATGAAATTAAATACGTAGTATTATTTAAAGATAAATTAGAAAATGGCTTAAGTGATATCCTTCTATGCTGACAACGCTTTTATCTTTTCGGGGTCTCTACAGTTTCAATTTTTAATTAATTAAATTTTTTCTTTGGTGGCGTTTGGTTTTATGAGTATTAAGAAGCGCCTTTAAAATAATGTTATTTTAATCTAAAGTTATAAACCCATACAACTCTAGTTTTTAGAGGCACTCATATTCTAGATCTACTTTTCGCAACATCCTCATCCTTTATGAAAGAGGAGCCCTAGGCAACACTTGAACAAGAACATAGAGAACGGGATATATTCGGAGAAGAGAAGAAGTGTTCAAATAAAAGTGAGTGGGCATATGTACCACTTCGTCGCCGCCGTAGTCTCCGTCACCCACTTTGCTGTGCCAACGACCACCACCGCCTATGATAGCCTAGGCCGCCTCCTCCGCCACCTCTGCTGTCTGTACCGCCTCCGCCGTAGTCTATGCTACCGCCGACTCCTTGCTTCAATTTTTGTCTCTTCTTTCCAGATTTGTTCATAAGTTTTTCGTATGTTACATGATATTTCATGTCCATAATACTTGTATTCGTTGATAGACTGATAGTATCACTAAGTATGTTGTTAGGTCCCTGTTTTCTAGTCTATAATGTATATGTATGGAAGACAGATCTATGAATGAAGCTTTCCATTGAATGATGAAGAAGTTTACAGAATGATGAACAAAACTTGGCGTAAAACTTCTATCACCGAAATAGGCACTGCGGCACAGAGAATGAGAATATCTGAAAAGCTTAACCTAGCCATTCCTAAGGGGTCTATTTATAGCCTCCTTAGAATGATAGGTTTTACAATGATATGGGCTCTCCTTTTTAGGAGGCCCATTCCTAATTTAGTCTAGTAGCCTTTTCCATTTAAGGCCTATTCTATGATAAATAAATAAATACAAAGGGCTAAGAAACATTGATCACAATATAATGAAAATATCTCTAACAATCTCCCCCTTTGTGATCAGATGTTCTTGCTTCTTTTATTCTTCACTTCTGAGCTTTATAATAGTGCTTTCTGAGATTGAGTGCATGCTCGTAGTTTCTGCGTGACCTTCTTCTGTCAAGTTGTTTCTCGATGGCTTTCAACACTTTGTCGATTCTATTTGCCTCTATTAGTTCATCATCTGTGGCATCTGCATACTTCTGTTGTTTTTCTTCAAATTCTTTCCTGATCGGTTGCAATTTTTCTTTAATGATCTTCAGCGTTCCATCACAGTACTTGTTGATTTCTTCAGCCACCAGCACACGCCTCTCACCATTGTGATTCAAGTAGATGATTGCTAATGGGTGATCAAAGATGTAATATGCTGGAAAGTTCTCAAGCTCTGGCCCGTAAAGCTTTGGTCTTGAGAGGTTTGTCTTTGGCAGATTGGTTTCTAGGGCCGTCTGAAGATCATGGGAAGCAAAGAATTTGACTTGTCTGATCATGAAGCGCTTGAGTGCCTCGAATCCGTCTTGTGTAGATCTGTCCCAAGTGACCGGAATTTCCTGGAATGCTAGATACATGTGATAGATGTCGTCCATCTTTAGCATATAGAGGTCATTCTCCTTGCAGGTAAATTCAGTCCCGTCAGAGCGTTGTAGGCGGTAAACAGAGAGTGTGATGTCTTGATGATTTACTTCGGCTACATTGAGAATACTCCATACTGGATCTGTTGCTGTTTTTTGTTCACATTGCCATACTTCTCTCTGTTTCCCCATGTAGTGATGACTAGGCAGAAACAACTGTCCGGTCTTGTTCTTTCCTCGCAAATGATTAAGCCCACAGATTTTCAATTCGTCCAGTTCCTTGACTTTGTCATCTCTCCGCCATATATGCTTTCTGATTTCCTCTTGGAAGGGAGCATTGATGTTAATATTCTCCCAAGGCTTTTCACTCCTGGGCATTCGAGCCGCTGTTTGTCTGATGATGGATTCCAGCTCCTTGGGAGGTTCCTGATAATTCTCTCCTTCCTTGAGTTCATCGTCATCAAGCAGTATCACATCAGCAGCACATTTAGCTAGGAGCTCTCTGAGGTAGGCTCTTCGCTGTATTTCATCCACATTTGTCCATAGCCGAGACCATTTGTTATGAACAAGAATTTCTTCAAGTTCGTCATGTATTCGATCATCGTGTTGGCTAGAGGGAGCTTGCTGCTGCTGCTGCGATCTGTCAAAAGTAACTCCGGGATCACTAGGATTGCCCGTTATCATCAGATTAGAACTAGGTTCTTTCTGATGGCCTGAATAAAATGGTGTACTCGTCGTAGCAACCTCAGGACTTCCACTCCATCCTTGGACAGCACCTGTAAAGGATGCGCCTAGGAGTGTTGTTTCTAGCTCGACCGGGCTAGATGTGGGTGGATTGGCTGTTTGGCTTTTGTGTTGAGTGGATGGTGGGGGCTGATTGTTCGAGGATTCAGGTTGGTTGGATTGTGTGGAAGGTTGGTTTGTTGACGCATCACGCTCAAGTGTCCGTTGCCTCTTGTTCTCCCCCTCACGAGGATCCGAATCATCGGGGTCCTCATGCGAACGTTTGTGACCACGGAGATTATCACGGCATGTGCTGTCAGGCGTAAGTATCCGAAGAAGGTCTTTTTGTTTCTGGGTTAGGTTGCCTTCTTCGGTAGCTAGTAGTTGATCTAGCATAAGGGTTTCGAGTACCTCGAACGAAAGAGTTTTTGGGTCAGGGAAAGGTGTGGTCGAAGTAGGGGAGGACACTAGTTCTGTATCCTGGGTTCCCCTTGAAGTGGTAGGAGTGGTAGGTTGGGTTGTGGAAGGTTCAGAGTTTTGGCGGGTGGAGAAAAGGGTAAGTGGATGTGGTTGTTGGGTATGTGAGGTAGATGGTAGGGGTTGGATGATGTCGTTAAGCAGCGCCGGGGTGTTCCTGAATTCCTGTGCCCGAGCGGTTATTGCTTCGTGCACCCATGGCTTAATGGTGGAATACATGAAACGCTGCAGAACGACTGAAAGGTCGGTAGGGTCAGGGTTACCGGTTACAGGGGTAGTAACCGTTGTCACAGCATCAGTAAAGATTACCGATGTGTGGCCTGCAGATAATGATGGAGGTATCTGTTGTGCAGCAGGACTTCCGATCATCATTGACGTATCTCCGATCGTTGAGGACAGGTAAAGTGCACCTGTTGTGTGCGGTGGTGTGAGCAGTGTATGTGTCCTAGAAAAAGTGGAAAATGTTGGGAGGGTGGAACCTAGACTCAATGTGGTAGAAGGAGGGGTAGTGGTCTGGGGCGGGAGACCACAAAGAATGTCCTCAACTGCGTCATAAGGAGGCAGTGAGGTGGGTATAATGTCCCCTATTTGTGAAACTACTACCTGTTGAGAGGCAGCAGAGTGGTCGGGTGAGGCTTGTGCATGCGCAGTTGGGCTAGATGCTGCGTCTTCTACCCGGAGACTGAAAATATTAGTCTCTGCTCCTAAGGGGTTAGCCCGGTTTATAGTGTCTAGGTCGGAGCAACTGTCATACAGGGCTATTTCTTCAGCCAAGTTGCTTGCTGTTTGCACTCTCTGCATAGGAATGGATGATGAGGAGGGGTTGTCAAGACGTACCTTTGAGCGAGTCTCACTGATGATGTTTCCTCGAATGTCCTTGATTTGGTGAGACTGCTCTTGTGTTGTAGCCCGAGAAAGCCTGATAATGAGTCGTCCTTTCTTTGTGACATGAGCGGTGGCTACAGTGACACCGGTAGTGACCTTCTTAGTCACTTTTTTGTCTTTTCGAAAAATGGTTAACGTTCACGTGGTTGTTTCCGTTTATTGTTCTTTGCAATAGCATTTTGTTACCTACAAACAAACTTGACCATTCACAACAAGATTCCTAAAATAAAAGTACGTATCCCTATCATGTACTATCTATATGTCAATCACACTTACGGTAATCTAAATATTTGAACATATTAATTGCAGTCTCTAGAAGACTGAAAGCAACTGTTATGATCTGCAAATGAAGGTCTAATTGAACAACTTAATGACATTTATTTCAATAACTAGTTTTTCGACGCGCGTTGCGCGTGTGTAATAATGCCCAATTTTTTGACAAATTTGTCTATGGTTCAAAAACAGTTGCTAAACATAGAATAGGGGAACCTTTATATTCAAACTGTGCAAGCCCCGGGTTATTCTTTGGTTTTCTAACACTTAATTCTTTCTCCTTGGTTTAAGAAAATTAGGTTTAGTTGAACCTAATATTTTCGAAAACCTCTAAACAATTAGATTTTTGGTTCTCAATCAACCTTTAGAATGCTTACACTGACATGCTGGAGATATTTCTTAGATGTTATTTAGTCTAAAAAGAAAGTTAGAAAATTATAAAACTTCCTTTGTGCATAAAAAGTTTTAGGGTTTTAATTAGTTTCACAAAGGAACTATACTTAAAATATTATAAAAAATGAATTACCATGGCAATTACTAAAATAAAACTTATAGCATCCAAACAATAAGTTCTTCAGATCCAATTTCTCACAGTTACTTTAATTGTTCCCTAAATAAATAAATAAACAGTTCCAGAGATCATAACTTATTTATCTTGTTAATTCCATGTTGCTCATGTAGGATAAAGTCTTGTTACTTTATACTTCCATTAAGTATGGAAAATCTAGAAAGGTTAAAAAGCTCACACATAGTAGCAGTAAGATACTCAAAATGGATGCATGGTATAATAAGATCCACACAATGCAATGCATTACTTTATTATACTACGTAGCACATTTTTTAAAGGTGTAACGAAATGCATGCAACTTAAAAGGCCTAGGAAGATCTAAGTTTTACATACAAATACATTCTCGTAGTTTGTATTGAAGGTATGCGTATTAAAGAAAATTTTATCATTTATGTACTCTAAAATTTAGAAAACAAACTAAGAAACAAACCACTATAGATAAATTTTGTATCTTTACCTTAAGGTACAAAAAGGATGGTTAAACATAATTTGGACAAAGCCTTTAACTCTATATGATAAAGGAAAGAGTTAATTTTGTAATAGATTAATATCTAGGATAAGTTAAACATTTACCAA